AGATGAATTGATTTGTCGTAAACCTGTGATCCAATATTAAATAACTGTACGAACGAAACAACGCTTGTTTTGTGCTATGTCAAGAAAATACACTGCAAAAAATTCTTACCTATGCTGTAATTGCGTGCTGCTCACTGTGAAATTATACGGTCTTATCTTTTTGTTTTGTTTAATGATATGAAAAACTAACCATAGAAAATAGTACATTCATCCAACTGATAAATTCGCACTGTAAAATGGCGCACTAGCGCATTTACGGACAATGCCCAAAATTCCACATGCGAAATCCGATATCGCTGTGGAATCGAAATCCGATATCGCTCCGATATACCCTTCCAGAAGCCGACATGACGGCAGAGAAGTTGCTTTTTTAACGCGTTCTTCGGACTTCACAAACAGCGCGAGACTGCATTGTGAACTGCGTTGGACAAGACGTTTTATGATACGAGGATTTACTGCTTCACGTCGATACGAAATGAAAAACCAAGTTGAAATAACGCAGCTAGTGAACGAGAAGTGCATGAATGCCCTGGGTAAGGACCAGAATCGCTTCTCTTGAAGACATATGAAAAAGAAAAAAATAGATCAGTGCTCACTGCAGTGAGTGACAGAGAGCCCATTTTCTCGTCGGTCCGTCCGTGAAGTCACGGACGGACGGATGGGCATGACGAGAACAATATTCACGGACGGACGGACATGACGAGCACAATATTCACTGACGGACGGACGGACATGACGAGCACAATATTCACGGACGGACGGACGGACATGACGAGAACAATAACGCATTTTTCCATAAATGAGAAAAAGGAATAGAGTTAATCCTAACCAAGCACAAATTTCATTCATGATGATAGAAAATTAGTTCCTTTTACACATGTAATATGACACTAGATTTTTTTGAAATTTTATCCATGGTGATGATGCAGTTTTAATATCAACTTTTTCAGTGGCACTTGCAATTATTATTACCAACATAATCTGTCGCATGGGCTAAACTTACGAGGAAAGATCTCAATTTCGTTATAATAATTAGAATACAAACAAATAGCCTGCAAGTTCGTAAATTATAACGGTGAACTCGAAACTGAGAAAATTTAATAGTTAGTTATAGTTTAATAGTTAATCGCTTCAGATAGTAACAGATAAATCTTGCTAGCATCACATTTTTGATTCACCACTCACTATGCATATGCTTCACGTCATAACCATTAGAATTACTGAAAATCAGGAGCAATAATTGATTCAAGTTCTAAAGCGTATTTATATACCAAGAGGATCTAGTCAATTACGATAAGAGTCCTCACCTCGCGCGATGGAATATCTCGAACGATATGATACCGTCAGATTAAACTATGCAATCGCAGATACGCGACATGCAAGGCATCAGGCGATCAAAGTTCGAGAGGCGCAGCGAGATTAAACTTATGTTGGGAATTGCTTTCATTTTCATATCATAGATATACTTACTGAATATCTTATCTGCCTCATGAAAATATTTCATGCTATCTTATGATGCACAACAAAGCAGAAACAGGTCAAACACCGATACAATGATTACGACCCATATAAGTGCGTTGAAAATATGCAACACAAATTCAATCCAATTACGTTCAATATACATATCGGCTTCTGCTATAACGTGACAATAATGCCTGCGAAGATTCGGGTAATATTTTTTTTAGGTATTATCTTAATTTGAGGCTTCCTTTTAATTCAAGGTTTTCATTTATTTCAAGGTTTCTTTTAATATAATATTTCATAACTTGAAATGTTCTTTTTTCATCACATTCATGTCATGACAAGATTTATGTACAGCCAACGCACTTTCTAAGCTGCTACATCTCTATTCCATATTAAAGTGGTTAAGTAACATGACACTGACGGTTTGACATGTGGAAATACCATAAACATTTATCTTATTCCGGATGAAGTGTTGACCTACATCGCTGTCTATGAAACCTTCAGGAATTTACTCAGCACCCATAAGCCATATTTATTCGTGCCTTCAAATTGATCAAGGTGAAAGGATGGATATTGGAGTGGTGCGTGAGTGGCGACTATTTATTCGTGCCTTCAAATTGTTCAAGGTGAAAGGATGGATATTGGAGCAGTGACAAGGAAGCGTTTCGATGACTCGCGTGCAGTTGACAACTGTTGAACACGCGCTTCGCACGAGTTTATACCCGGTTTATAGGTTGGTACAAATCCAGGCATAAAACATTAATAATTGACTTGCAATTTCTTGAAACAAAGTCTTCGCGATTAGGACAGTACCTCGGAAAGATCATTAAACTGACAATTCTTAGGTTCCGTAATTCTGGGTGAAATGGAACGTTTCGCGTATTAATTTAGCATCCAGAGCAAATGGACCCATGTACCATTGAAGCGACAACAGCACGTTGATCGATAACACTTATTTGCTAAGCAAAATACAAGAGCTCGCACAGCTCATATCGCCTATTGGCTTCAATTTTTTTCGTAAATTTCCATATATATGAATATGAATCATAAGTGCGAGCCTCGTTTATATATAAATGTTTGTGCGATGGAATATAGCCGTAATCGTTGTTCTTACAACTTGAAAACATTGCGCTACGTAGAGCATTTGTGCCGTAACCATGTCTTTTTCACAAGTCCAACAGCTATCTCAAACAATGATCAGTTATAGAAAGATCGGGTTCTAATTAAAGGCCATCAAGTCACGAAAAGTACAAGAATCGGCAACAGGCCATGGGCCTATTTCTTCAGGGCCAACACTTCTATTCTATGTCGTAGATGCTGGACAACCGATTTATACACGCCACATCAGATAACTTACACACAGCCTATTAGGTGCGATAACCTTCAGTTGCTCTCGCAAGTTTGGAGTGCTTGGTTCTTTACAATTATTTCTGTCTGTGTTTTAGGTAGCAACAACGAGTTGAAACAAACTATCGAGCAGCTTCAAGTAAATGCTATGTCATAAAGCAAAAATAAAGCTGTACCGCGCCCCGTTTATAGAAACTAAATTGTTTACATTTTCTGTGGAATTCGGAAGATTATCCATGCAGTGATTGGCACTATTTTAGGATCTTGGAGAACAATAAGAATTCGGAAGAATAATGTCCAGCACTATACGACTGAAATACTGCCAACAAATTCTTTCAATTAAATGTCATTATAAAAAGCGACCTATTTTGATTATCAAAGGGATTTTTACTGGCAATTCAGTCGGTTGTGTTTAAAGTTGTGATCTAGTGAATGTTTTTTTTAAACAATCGCAATATCAAAATGACTCGTGATAATTGAATAAGGACTTTTATTTGCAACGTATCGAACCTCATTTGAATTCATAAGCCACGAAGAAGGTATAAGAAAATGCGTTTAATTAAACTATATGTCCACACGAAAAAAAAACCCTCAATGATTATTTACGGCGAACAGGTTGGTAGCCATCATAAGTTGCAGTTGATACGCGTGAAGAACCTATACAATTAATACTTTAAATGCGAAAAAGAATTTTCATGTTAGACATGATCAGCTTTGTCGTAATTGACAAGAAAATTTGTTCGATATCCCAGGGCAATTTAGTGCTATAAAAATAATAATAATTACTGTGAAAAGCTTCAGTAAGAAATCGATCTTATTCTGGGGCGCTGCACGAAGTGGCTGAAGTCGAGAATATGAATTACTGGAACGTTAAGACAAATTCTTGAAGCAAATCTTTAGCAGCTTAGATTATTATAAGAGCTCAGCGGAACTTGTCAGATTATTAAAACCTTTCTCGTGAATATTTGCGTTTCTTTCGTTGAGCTACAAATGAATGGGAAGTTTTTCATGCATGTTTTGTCTCTTGAAGCTCAGGTATCACGACATGAATGGTACGGATACATATTCAATAGTAAATATTCTTAACCAAAATTTATAATTAACGATAAAGTACGATAAATTTTATCAATAATTTTGAGTGATGGAACATATAAAATTAGAGATTCACAGGTGCAAAGAACAAAGCCCGACTAAATTTACCAATGAAAAGAATGATATAAACGAATGAAAAAAAACAGACACATCAGCATGACACAGAAACAGCAGCACGACACAGAAACAGCAGCACGACACAAAAAGCAGCACNCGCAGAAACAGCAGCACGGCGCAGAAACAGCAGCACGGCGCAGAAACAGCAGCACGACACAGAAACAGCAGCACGATCTAAAAACCTGCAAATTTCAGTGTAAATTGCGTGCAACTTCTCTGAGGCAGAAAAGAAATTGAGCGAGTTTTCTTTCAAATAAAAGGAGATTTTGTTATGGAAGAAAATCACCCAAAGACGTAGAGATGTAGAGATTTTCCTCGATTAATCTAATTCAAATGAACCTCTGTTTCTTAGAGAGATTACACGACAAAATTGAGCTGATCCTCGTCTCGTGAACTTAAAGATGCAATAGATTTAGTAAACGAATTCATTGAAAATCTTTGACAGCACCTGAACTTCCTGCTAATTAGTTATCAGAACAGGAGTCGTGCGTCTTACACTTCGTCGCGTACAGATAACAGATCTCGGTCGTAATGTACTCAAACGTACGCTGATCCATTGGAATGAATGTTCATTTCGAACTCATTTGGACGACGGAAAAAATATACAACGACTTGATTGCCGCGCAAAAAAAATACAGTGCTACTTCCGCAGGATTAGTGCAGGCCTTGCGGACGAAAAAAAATGATAACTGAAAGATTTCTCGTACCGTTAACGGTGTCGGAAGAAGGATGCGCTATACCCGGAACTGCTCGCTGTAGTGCCCTCAACCGCGTAGCGATGGACCACAGTTCCGGCAGCTTCGAACTTTCTGGAAGGAGGACAATTTATGAGTGTTATAACACTAATTATGAAATAAAATAAAAAGCGCGAAATACATATCTGATTCTTACCTAATGTTTTTTCAAAGAGCCCGTTCCAAAGCAAATTCAGATATTACAACATATATATACACAATTTCTAATTATTTTAAATTCACCTTTTCAGATAAAAGGGTGCTCCTTTAATAGTGTTTGAATTATTCTAATCCTCTGAATATTTTCAAACAATTTTTATGCACCCTTTGATCAACGGATAGTTCTACACAATGTCCTGGGTAAGAGACTTGAACAAGTCGCATGTACTTGCGACAGCCTGTTTACTTCTGGCGCTCGGTCTGGACAATTGTAATGGATTTTCTGTAATGGAAAAGGAAATTAGAGCGCTTGCTGAGGAGGCGCTCAAGATGGACGAGAATAAGGAAATCATGATGGATGCCATCCGTACAACTGTGAGTGGATTTATTTAAATGGTCATAGTGTCTCATGCATAGCTTGTTGGTCATAGTGTTTCATGCTAGAGTGAAAGGATGTAGAGGTAGAGAGTGAGTATAGAGGAGATGGGTACGCAGCTTGATCTGAGCTGCGTAATTACAGAGAATTCAACTTGTAACAATCAATGAGACTGAGAATTTACCGACATCGACAATTCATTATGAATTTCTGCATATTCTACACAATAAGTACAGGAGGCAATAAAAAAATACCTCTAGTCTTTTTTTAATTAAACCGTAATCTCTTCAGGCGTCTCTTTTCATAATATCATTAACCTCATTAATGAAATTAAATTAAACTTTTCTCAGCCGGAGATGATAGAAGCTCACGGATACCCCGCGGAGGTGCACACGGTCACCACCAGGGACAGATATGTGCTGGAGCTTCACCGCATCCCCCACGGCCGCAGGACAGGCGTCGCCCCACTGAGAAGCTTGAGAGAGACATGCCTGAGAAGCTTGAGAGAGACATGCCTGAGAAGCTTGAGAGAGACATGCCTGAGAAGCTTGAGAGAGACATGTCTGAGAAGCTTGAGAGAGACATGCCTGAGAAGCTTGAGAGAGACATGCCTGAGAAGCTTGAGAGAGACATGCCTGAGAAGCTTGAGAGAGATATGTCTGAGAAGCTTGAGAGAGATATGTCTGAGAAGCTTGAGAGAGACCATGCGTGACAAGCTTGAGAGACACAAACGTGAGAAGCTTGAGAGATATCTGCGTGAGAAGCTCGAGAGAGACATGCGTGAGAAGCTTGAGAGAGAAATGCGTGAGAAGCTTGAGAAAGACATGCGTGAGAAGCTTGAGAAAGACACGCGTGAGAAGCTTGAGAGAGACCTGTGTGAGAAGCTTGAGAGAGACCTGTGTGAGAAGCTTGAGAGAGACCTGCGTGAGAAGCTCGAGAGAGACATGCGTGAGAAGCTTGAGAGACATGCGTGAGAAACTTGAGAGAGACATGCGTGAGAAGCTCGAGAGAGACATGCGTGAGAAGCTCGAGAGAGACATGCGTGAGAAGCTCGAGAGAGACATGCGTGAGAAGCTCGAGAGAGACATGCGGGAGAAGCTCGAGAGAGACATGCGGGAGAAGCTCGAGAGAGACATGCGGGAGATGCTTGAGAGAGACATGCGGGAGAAGCTTGAGAGAGACATGCGTGAGAAACGTGCGAGAGACATGCGTGAGATACCGGCTCTTTTTTAAAAGCACGTGACCGGCCTGTATGAAAGATACATGCGTGAGAGAGGAAGATGTATGGTAGGCCTATCTGAAAGATAGAGGAAAGGCCTGTCTGAAAGACAAACCAGTTAGAAAGCTGCATGACAAGCCTGCCTGAAAGACAGAGGAACTGCATGTGTGAAAAACTAGCATGAAAGGCCTGTCCGAAAGAACCACGAGCTTATTTGAAAGACGGCCATTTTGACCTATGAAACAGACTAATGAGAAACTTGTGCCTTTCTCAATAGTCATTTTAGTCTCATTTACGGGAAAACTACTGTTAAACCCTTACCGGAGTTCTCCATCTCCAAATAAATGGGTAAATGGCCCAATGTTTAGATAGACGGGTAATCACTCCTAGCCGTTGTTTTTGGCAGGTGTTAGAGCGAAAGTGCACTATGATATCCGGTTGACCGTTTTGCAGGTTTTATTCTTGCTGATGCTGGCTACGACGTTTGGATGGGAAACGTTCGTGGCAACACCTACTCCAGAAAACACGAGATCCTCAGTCCCGATGACGCCCGCTTTTGGAAATTCAGGTAAAACTCCCAGCAACTAATTGGCAAAACAGACATCTCTCATAGCAGCATTGGCGAGCTGTACCGCTTAGTTGAAGATATTAGGGTATAATAAATTGTAATGGCCTATTTGGTAAATATAGTTTCGGTTGTGGCATGACTTTTAAAGCGACCGGCAAGTTTGACGCGGCAGAGACCATTGATCACGCAAGCATCACTACATTAGATTCATAGCTTTAGATATTCGATCAATAAAACTCAACACATAGTTTACTGCACCTCTCTTTCCCTAGTTTTTTCTAAATTCTCTGTCTTTTTTTTAATTGGGACTGCTTTTTTCGACAGTTGGAGCGAAATGGGAAAGTTCGACGTGCCCGCTAGCATTGACTATGCCCTGAACGTGACGCAACAAGATCAGCTCTATTACGTCGGCTTCAGTATGGGAACTACCGTCTTCTTCACCATGATGAATTATCATCCTGAATACAATCAGAAGGTCGGGAAACTATGCGCTAGGTGATTCCACATAAGCCCAAACCATTACATTGCAGTCTAAAACTGCCAGCTTAGCATGCATGACATTAGCAGCCGTTTAGCACCAGCTTAGCATGCAGCCGTTTCTCTTTAGTCACAGCAAATTTATAGGAAACTAATAAGACAGTTAAGTGCATATTTAGGGATCTGCTAACAAATTATGTGTTGAAACTATCGGCTAAATAATAGAAGTATCCTCATCGATGACGACAAGCGTATCCATTGGTACAGAAATTTTGTAACGATTTTCGTAAGCAATGTCTTGCCCGTCGCAGATTATTGGAATGATCGCGCTGGCCCCCGTCGCGTACGTGACACACATCAAGGGACCGCTGGGGGCCATGATCCCGTACGCGTCAACGTTCCAGGTGAGGCCTGCACACCTTCAGTAGCTGCGGGTCATAGTTCTTGCGGGGTCTTACCGGTCATGTGAACACAGGTGTGGAAATGGAGAGAGATAAAAAAATATATAGCCCGAATTATTAACTCTATATTCAGCACAAACATCCAATAAGGTAAATTGGTTGAAAGTTGAATATTAATTCCTTCCGTTGAATGGGTAAAATTGTCTTACAAGTTGCAAATCTTTCATGAAGATTAAAAAAGGCAGGTCCTTCCTACCTTGAGCGTTAACATTTCGGTGGTTAATGAAGACACCAGAGCCACATTGAGACCAGTGAACTGCAGGGGACTTTATTAACCTAGGTTTCTATTGCAACATGAAATTATACCTCCAATCTTCCATCGTAGTAAAAAGAGAAACGAATATACGTTATTTGGTAAGGAAGAACTAGGTTCTAGCTCATGTCAAGTCAAGGCCCCGCAAAAAAATGCATAAGCCGCGTGGGCACTATTCCAGTGCCCACGAATTCAAGACTCAAGAGTTCTAATTTCAGAGCTAAGTACGCTTGTCGCAAGACCGATCAGCGTTCCGCAGGCACAAAATATCAGTAACGTGATTAGAAAACTTTCCACGTCTATATTATGTATCCGTTATCTTCCATTATGTTCCTTCATAATATTGGATGCACTCCGAAACATTTGAGAATGTATAAGCATAAAATAACCTCCGTGCACTAGTCCCAACGAGTTTTAATGGTTTAAATTGATAACAGACCTTAATGGAAATGGCGGGAGTGAACGAAGTCTTTTCTACTGGCAAAGTTTTCGACTTGCTGGTGTCGTCAGTTTGCTCGAGCAAGGAGTTCACAGCGCCGCTCTGCCACAACATTCTCTTCGCCCTCACCGGTCCTGACGCCCACCATCTCAACCCGGTAACTAATTCCTCATCGGCCTCATGTCGAAACAACGGCAAATTATCCTATTCGTTAGTGATTCGAACTAATCTTAACTGATCCTCGTTAGCCGAAATAATGATAAATAAGTCTTCCGTCACCATATCGAACGAGCGGTGACAATCTCAATTTTAAATCAATATGTAAAACTAGTACTAGCCTACTAGTACTGCTGGTAACTAGCTAATTCTGAAAATCTGAATCCTGATCCTATTTCGCTACTAGTGGAATAAAGAGTGACTTATCCTCAATACCTATTCGATGTGTCGAGTAATGATCCTCTTTCATCTCAAAATTTTCCCGATGTCTCAACACTAGATAAACTAGAAGTAAAATTAAACGTAACACAAAACATACCGCCATGTAGAAATAAATAAGATCAAGCTACCGCGTGGCGGGTTTGGGTCTGACACTGAGTCACTGACCGTCTGATGATAAAAAATTTCAGGCAAGTTCCAACCAGGGAGTCGGGACAGTTCACAAATTACTCGAACAGTTTGATATCGGAATAAAAACTAAACTGGAGTATCATTATTCTGATTAATAATATATTATAACGTATACATTCCTATATCTTTTCGGTGTTACAGGAATTTCTTCCGGTGATATTAGCCCACACTCCAGCCGGCACATCACTGCGCACTCTGCTACATTTCCTGCAGAATGGCAAGGCTGGTGTGTAATCCGGTCATTGTTTAGGCTTTAGAAATTAATTACCTCGAATATATTGAAATATTTGAAAATTAATGTTCAGTCTAAAGTTGAGAGGACTGTCGTTTAAAAAGCCGACTAACGCGGACAAAAAAGTGATGACAAAACAGAAATAAATAAATATCAGTAAAATAAAATCAATAGCGTTGATGTCAGGCGATTGAAATTAATCATAGCTTTGATATCAGGAGAAAAATAGCTATTGAAAATAAAGGAAATTGACTTCAAGTTAATTATTGACAGGTCGTTTCCAAGACTTTGACTTGGGCTGGTTTGGAAACTTTAGGCGCTACCGACAAGCCACCGCACCAGTGTTCAATTTGACGCGCGTCACCGCCCCTGTAGCCGCCTTCTACGCGGACAACGACTGGCTCGCACCCCCAGCGGTGAGCTCTGTTCATTCTCTGACAGTTTTTTTCAAATAATTATACTTGCGTTCGTCGATTTAATTCATTATATTTATTATTGAGCGGTTATGTAATTCACAATATTTCAATAGAAGTCTCTAGAAACTATATCAGTCTATGTCACGGTTGAAGTAAAGTTCAGCCATTGTCTATGTACCTTATTTTCATGTCAAGATTGAACTTCGAATATGACGGATTTCAAAAAACCCTGAGACTCATAATTTGTAAAACAAAATAGGTGTTAAACTCTCCGAATCCTTAATACATGAGGGATAACTGAAACAAAAGTTGTCAGCGTGTAATTTGGTAAAATTGGTAATTCCAGGATGTGCGAAGGACAGTCTCGGAACTCGGCAACGTTGTCCTGCGACACAAAGTCCCGGATGAGAACTTCTCTCACCTCGACTTTTTGTGGTGAGTTGCTTGTAAATATCCCTTCACTCACGCCCCTCGTTTCGTGTACATTTCAAATCATCAGAAAAGTATAAAATTTTCAATGAAAGAGTCTTTGAGGAGGTTTAGTTATAATTGAATATTTTACGGTACTACATAATTGGTCAGTTGTTTATATAATTCAACTTCAAACTCTATATTTAGACGTATCGATTCACTTCCAAAATTGTTATTAAATTTAGTGCATACTGCCTGACCTAATCAATGCTTATATTATTCAAACATTCCTTGATTGAATCCTTATTTTTTAGAATCGCAAGTAATTCAGAAGCTACCAGCTCTCCCAATTACATTATTGAGTCTAATTATTTCCAGTAGGCTCAGTGTCGTATTTACTTCCATTGACGCATCGTATTTAATTATATAAACACTTGTAAATGAAAATAAAGTAATAACGAAGCCTCAATAACTGAATATATGAAACATTAATATATGAAACTGAATACGAATCAGAAATGCGTTCCTTACGTTGCTGAATATTTTAGTGAATAAAAACCGCAAGCGCTTCATGCACTGCAGCGGACTTGTCGAACTTGTTTGAGTAATCGGCTTTATTTATTTACGAGGCTAACTGTCTTTATTTATTTACGGGGCTAAAGAGGCAACCGTCTTTATTTATTTACGGGGCTAAAGAGGCAACCGTCTTTATTTATTTACGGGGCTAAAGAGGGTAACCGTCTTTATTTATTTACGGGGCTATAGGGGCAACCGTCTTTACAGTCATTTGCAAATGTTTAAGACCACCCTCCAAATTTGTTTTTTTTTTGTATTAAGAAATGCTAATGAGGCAAAATATTTAAACTGTTTGTATTTGATGAGACAAAGTAAAGAAATAACAAGCAATTTATGAAGCATTTAATATATTCAGTACCTAGTGTGTCCCTCTTTATTGTCAATAACAGCCTAGATTTGTCGTGGCATACTGCTGATAATATTCTGGCAGTACCCCTTGGAAAATTCTTTGCACCATACCTGCTTAATGCATTTTTCTAATGACTTCAAATTTGAAGGCTGCATTGCTGCTACCTTGTCCTTCATGACTGACCACAAATTTTCAATGGGATTCAAGTCTGGGCCATTTCCTGCCAGTCCAGCAATTCAATGTTGTTTGAGGTAAAAAAATCTTTCACCTACCAGGCCCGATGGCATGGAGCACCATCCTGCATGAAAATAGTACACTGGTGTATTCCCATGTGTAGTACAAGCTTTTCTTGAAGCAGCTTGAGGTACCTTGCTCCATTCATGGTTGTTTTCTGAGGCAGAAAGTACAATCCAGCTGTCCCATTATGGCTAAATTCCCCCCACACCATGACAGTGGGTGGATGTTTCATGGTAGGTACTGCATATTTCTCTTCAAATCATTTACCAACTGGTCGGTTAATGTGTTGATGGCATAAACCAAACTGCTGAAATGCAATTTCATCTGAAAACAACACTGTGTTCCACTTGGCAACCGTCCAATCTTGATGTTTCCGAGCAAAATTCAATTGCTTAATTTTCATAGCTGCAGTTAACTTTGGTTTTTGAGCAGGCGTGAAACTCTTTAGGTGAAATTCTTTGCTTAAACGGCATGAAATTTAACTCATGCTCACCTCACAACTTTTTCAAAGCAACATTCCTTGAATTTTATTACAGAAACTTGTTGGAGATCTTGCAACAGTGAGCTTCATCATGTTGTCATCACGGCAAGTTTTTTTCATTGGACGCCCCGACCTTTTCTTGTCTGAATAATGGCTATCATGTTCAAACTTGCGTATTGCATTGTTAACTGCAGTCTTGCTGCATCTCATCTTTAGAGAAATCTGGCGTTCAGAATAACCTTCGTCATGTAGGAGCACAATTTGAGCCCTCTGGACATCGGTAAGAGAAGCTTTTCTACCCATCTCTAATGAATGAATATTCTGCTGTCTTGCAGCTACAATCTTCTCAAGCGAGGGCTGGGAGGTAACTGACTCATGAACACACTTCTCTGATCGCCTGCGGCTAACATTAGGCCCGCCGCAGGCTCAAACTTGCACATCACTAATCCAAAAAAGGTCATTTCCTGATTTAGGTCAAATTCTGTGGGTGGTCTTAAACTTTTGCAAATGACTGTATTTATTTACGGGTTAAAGGGGGAACCATCTTTATTTATTTATGGGGCTGAAGAGGCTAATCATCTTTATTTATTTATGGGGCTAAAGGGGGTAACCGTCTTTATTTATTCACGGAGCTAAAGAGGCTAATCATCTTTCATTATTCGCAGGGCTTAAGAGGCAACCATCTTTATTTATTTACGGGGCTAACCGTCTTTATTTATTTACGGGTTAAAGGGGGTAACCGTCTTCATTTATTTACGGGGCTAAAGGGGGTAGCCGTCTTTATTTATTTAGGGGGTTAAAGGGGGTAACCATCTTTATTTATTTACGGGCTAAAGAGGGTAACCGTCTTTATTTTTTTACGGGTTAAAGGGGGTAACCGTCTTTATTTATTTACGAACTAAAGAGGGTAACCGTCTTTATTTATTTACGGGTTAAAGGGGGTAACCGTCTTTATACATTTACGGGGCTAATTAGGCAACCATCTTTATTTATTTACGGGCTAAAGAGGGTAACCGTCTTTATTTAGTTACGTGGATGAAGAGGCAACCATCTTTATCTATTCACATGGCTAAAGAGGCTAACCGTCTTTTATTATTCGCAGGGCTAAAGAAACTAACCATCTTTATTTATTCACAGGGCTAAAGAGGCTAACCATGTTTTATTATTCGCAGGGCTAAAGACCCAGTTGGTTTAGTTTATCAAAAAGTGCTCAAGTGCCTCGCCCACTTCAAGAGAATAGCGACCTGAGGCGCAGTCCTCGGCAGTCGGGCATCGCGCTCCTCAACGATATTTATCACGTTACGTTTGTCATCATCACTCGCTGATCGAGTTCACAAATCATATTCCTGCTCACCGTATATTTGTTTTGTCGCAAAGTTCGAATAATGAATAATAAGGCCACATCAGGCCTACTCTTTAGCGCCGACATCACTATGTTATGAGAGTGTTATTGTACTGAGGACGAGTCGTTAGATCACTTTCACACGACCTAAAGCGAAGACTGAAAATTTTATATTAATCGTTAATTGTTAAATGGATTCAACGATTGCTTCAAAAGCGATTATATTGTGATTGTGCGAAATATGGTTAGGTTAAACTTGTTATTTTATTGAAATTCCAACGACTGCCAAATAATGTGGTGATAGGTTATAGGATCAATGATAGATTATTGCTTGATTATTCGCTCATCTGATAGACTATTAAGAGAAGTTACTCTATTAGTTCATATTATTTATACTTAGCAATACGCAGCATACATTAGTAGGAGACCTAAAGCAACTGACCTCTCATCCATCTTTCGTAGTGTCTATATTTTAATCGCACTCATGATCACGTAATTTATAAACTGGAGTTGATGGAAAATGAATTTATTGCTGAAGGAATCGCATCGTACCAAAAAATATAGCATTTCTGTAATAAACTCCATTGTAAATCCAATACGCGACGCTTAAAAGAGTATCATAATTACAAACACGAGTGTATCATCTTTGCACAACGTTTATACGTAACTCGATAGTTTGAAAAACAAACTGAAATATTTACATTTCAAAACTTACCATCACTGGGTGATAACTTGATGAAATCTAGAATGTTGGGCGTGTTTTCCTTTCATTTCGTTAAGCGAATTAAGAAAAACTAAACACTAAATGCAAAACGAATTGCCGCCCTTAAGGCTTTGGAGGTCGTCATCTAGCAGGAGATATTTTGTTAAGCGTCGCGAAAAAATTGATGGTGATCATCATCGTTGTTCTTGGCAGACGCAGAGCATCGCGGTTAAAAGGATGAACAGTTCAACGAAATGTTACTATGTATGGCGGTCGTTACATAGGAAATTCAAGTCAGTTGTGCATGAAAATTAAGTGGCATTAACTATTATTAACTATTACCTCATTTTATGAAAATAATTTATCTTCATGTTGACTTAATTTTTTACCATCCTCTTCAGCCGCAGTCAACCAGAGAAAAATGCGCAAGAAGTGTAGTTAATTATGCCAGCTATCATGAATTTTAGAAACGATCAATAAACATAAACAGCTCTAATATTCATCAAACCAAGATAATGAACAGTAAACATAGCTTTAACACATAGCATTTATTAGAGTCTCTTAGCAACATGAAAGCATTACACGAGTGCAGACTTCAGTCACTCCCCACACGGCGCACATAACTCGTGCTTGAGACTACACACTCTAAAGTATGTTCATCACCAACAGAGCTTCAAGATACAAGTTCAATAAAAAGTTGTTTTAATTTTTCAAAGAGATTTGAATTTCATTCCTTTATGGAATGAAATTTATAACAAGTTAGGTTCCGCATTTTAATAACCAGACTATCGGCTCTCTGCGTTGAAAGAATATATCAATTTAGAGTGGACAGCAAACGTCCTGTGTAAAAACAAACGCATACTTAAAAAAAATGCAGAATTTGATGCAATAGTGTTATGAATAAGATTTTCCGAAATTCACAACCAAAAATTAAGCCTTGGTTCACTACAGTAACATTAGTTAGCAGACCTTTAGATATGAAAGGCATTGACGACAGTAATGTATGCGGAGACAGAGACTGGACTTAGACTGGCAGTTACGTGAACACTATCCACTCGCCACTGCTTTATACTTTATCATGCGCCCAACCATTTAAGGATGGCCTTTTATTTATTTATTCGTGCACAGAGCCGCCAGTCGTAGAAGGACATTAACGAAGAATTTCTCAGGTGAGTTAACGAAGCCAATTATTCCGGGGGGTAAATTCCAAAAAGAAATGTAAGAGCGGGAGGCCAAAGTGGACTCACCAGGTCTTTCAACTTCAGAAAATATCTTGAGGATCTAGACAGGAGCTTTCCGCAATGGGGTAGAAGGCACAGGAATTCACGAACTAATTAATTGTTCAGTATCAAATATTAAAAGATTCAAGGTGACACTTCAAATTGAGTTCACTGATATGAAATCTAAAAATGCACTTGATTATAAAACAAATTTTCGTGATTAACGTTGCACGGAAACTTCTGAATGCAGGATATCGCATATTTTGTTTTCGGGCAAACTGTCAGAGAAGCGGTCGAATAATAACGATTAATGAAACACTGATAATTTCGTAACAATTCAAATATCTTCCCAAACAAGCATTTGTCGAAAACATGAACAAGTTTGAACCGTGAGAGAAAATTCGGCAAAAAATATGAGCCACAACTAACTCATGGTACTGAACGGGACTAAAATATTTTTACCAATAATCCAGAATAAAATTCAACCAGATAAATAGACGACGTTATTACAAATGCTTGATTTTTTTCCGAGTAGCAAAAAATTGGGAAGGCGTCCGCCGATAAGGTCCGCCGATAGCTAAACCGAACTAAACTAAGCGAGATCAGTTTCACACTTCTAAATTATATATCCGTCACTATCGAGCTACTGAGAACGCTTGCTTGGAATGAGAACAAAATTAATGCAAGCTTCTAATGCGACGAGTTGAGAACCTCAAATGAAGTTAAATGGGACTTGAAACAGAATAAAATCTAGTCAAGTTTTCACATTGACAGTATAAAGACTCATTAGAAAATAACGAAGGAACGTATATTTGCTGGAACTTCTACTACGGCATTACCAAATTTGTAATAAAACAAATTTTCGTGATTAACGTTGCACGGAAACTTCTGAATGCAGGATATCGCATATTTTGTTTTCGGGCAAACTGTCAGAGAAGCGGTCGAATAATAACGATTAATGAAACACTGATAATTTCGTAACAATTCAAATATCTTCCCAAACAAGCATTTGTCGAAAACATGAACAAGTTTGAACCGTGAGAGAAAATTCGGCAAAAAATATGAGCCACAACTAACTCATGGTACCGAACAGGACTAAAATATTTTTACCGATAATCCAGAATAAAATTCAACCAGATAAATAGACGACGTTATTACAAATGCTTGATTTTTTTCCGAGTAGCAAAAAATTGGGAAGAAATATTTCCTTAAGGTCCGCCGATAACTAAACCGAACTAAACTAAGCGAGATCAGTTTCACACTTCTAAATTATATATCCGTCACTATCGAGCTACTGAGAACGCTTGCTTGGAATGAGAACAAAATTAATGCAAGCTTCTAATGCGACGAGTTGAGAACCTCAAATGAAGTTAAATGGGACTTGAAACAGAATAAAATCTAGTCAAGTTTTCACATTGACAGTATAAAGACTCATTAGAAAATAACGAAGGAACGTATATTTGCTGGAACTTCTACTACGGCATTACCAAATTTGTGGCATCTTGCGTTTCGTCAACAGAGGGAAGAAGCTGTGTCAGCTTTATACCAATAAAGATCTTAGAGAAAACACGGGCAACTTTCGGAAATGTTGACGACAAGCCACGTATACAAAGAGCAGGCTTAACTCTAAAGAAGCTTGGCCCGTACAACATACAAGTTCTCAACATCAGTATCGAAAATATTGCGACAGCTTAACGCCCTAAGCGAAAGTTTAAATAGAGAATACGTTTCATTTACATCGCTAATATTATTATTACTAGAGAATATCACAAGCTATGATGTACAGCGAATAACATAAATAGTGGTGGTCATATTAGGCATTGACCTCATTAGGCATTAGCACAATACATGTACACTCGCATTAATCTAATTAGTCGCTAGTGCCTATAGATGCTATAGTACGTCAGTGCTTGACAGCTAATGTACGACCAAAGCACATACAGCCTGTACACGTGCATGTTATATGTACACGTGGAACCTCATGTAGTAAAATGTACGTTTATTGACTCTCAGTGAACGAAGCAACCGTCATAAGAATTGGCAGATGAACAATAACTCCGAAACACAAAAATCCTTTCAGCAAATACTGAAATTACGAACAAACAAAATAAATTTGAGCGAACTTTGTAATCCTAGGAATTTATCATAATATTTGATTTATTTTATGACTCTGCAGTGTACAAGGAATTATGCCTGATAATGACAGCAATTAAGTTGACTGAAGATTTATCATCATGGCTGTTAATATTGAGCATGAAAACATATAAATTGCTGTATTTCCTCCACAGCAAGAAGGTAAAAGATTGTTATAAACGAGTCAACAGCGACTTGACACACTGCCTCACTTATACACAAATTTCAGAGAATATGTAACGACGTTACAGTGCTGATCTAATTTTGTTCATAAGATTAACTTGGCACAGATCGCGTTATGATATCAGAATTTTAAAACACAAATTGGCAGCAATTCCATAAGTAGGTTTTACTAGGGAACGTGTTTTATGACATACAGACGACCCGAGGTAGATTGCAGCCATACGCCGAACATAAAAGAAGACTGCATGCATGATGGCAGCAAGTAACCGAAGCTGCAACGACCATAAATCGCGTGCAGACAAAACTAAAAAGCTCAATTCACAATTTGTAGCTACGATGACAAGATAAAGTACAGCTCCACATACTACGTGATACTGACTACTACTCCTTTCATGCTCCTACGCCTACTCCTTTCTACTCCTCGCCGCCCACATGAAATTAAACTAACTTAAGTCAACAATAACTTCAATTTTAGCGTAAAAACAAAAATTTCCGTTATAGTGTTAACCAATTGTTGGTAAAATTTGTAGGAAGCCCAACTTGAGATATTTTTGTATGTGCCATGAAAAATATCTTGATACATCATTCGCCATTTCGTCATGAGTATCACAAACACGAAAGGCTTTCAAGAGAATATGATACAGCACATCTAGAACGTGGTACCAAACATGAATTGGCTTTCTTTCTGACAAAGCAAAACCACAATTGCACATATTGATACGCTTTAGTCTGCAAAATGCATTCTAAAGTAAAAAATTTACCACTCTAGGCCAATCAAATATTGAAAAGATCTTATTGAATGTTCAAAAATGAAACATTTCACACTCGAGCAGTAGTACTCTCTTTCTGGTCACAAGTAGAGTGACAGTATACAGTGGTTCTCTGTCAACCAATACAGAACAAGCACAAAAACACAGCGAGATAAAAGAAATATTAGCACAAGACCGACTTTAGTCACGAAAAAAAATGGTCCAGCTTTAAAATCGGCTAGCAAACATTGATATAGATGGTGATTAATTTCAAATTGAGGTGTGGAGGAATCAAAGATCCGTTGGCGAAGGATGATTGCCGTCTTGAAACCACAGTGTTTGTGATAAGAACCTCATGCTCTTACAATCGCAATCTAAAGTCTTTATTCACGGCGATGCTGAGAAGACACACAGGAGTTACAGGAGACCGCATGCAGCTTAGTGACGGGAGCGGCGGCCTGTTGGCAACGAGATCACAATTACTTCCATGAATATTGCTTCCATAAATAAATAAAGAAAATTATTTCGTCCGAGTAATTATTTCAATATACAGATAATTGATCAATTTTGAAGTGATGAACAGTAGCTTCCAACAATCGTCGTTACAGATAAGATGCTTGATGAAATTGATGGGCATGAGAAGGAAGTAAAATTCGAGAAGATGAAGCCAAATAATTGTAATACCGAAATAATTTCAAGCAGAGGAAATCATCGTAAACAAGTGTAGGAAGTACGTGATAATGAAGACTTTTCTGGTTTGCTGGAAGCTGATCAGGTAGTTGTTGCTTAGTAGCTATTTCACAAGAATGCTTTACTACAGGGAGAGTAGAGCAATTCATACCTCACAAGAATGCTTCACTACAGGAAGAGTAAAGCACTTCATACCTCACATGAATGCTTTACTACAGATAGGGAGAGTTTAGCACTTTATACCTAACATGAATGCTTTACTACCGGGAGGGAGAGTAGAGCACAGCGAGTAGTATGAGGGAGAGTGGCATAGCTCATACCTCTCTGTCTGTTCTCAAAACAAACAGTAAGGCACACGGAGCGAGTGTAATAGTAACGAATCATCAGCAATGACGTCGACCAATATGTTAAAGGAGGACCTGGCTGTCGCTAAGTAAGATAAACTCGCCCGTAAGCGTAAGTCATAGCGGGGTTTCTTTCTTGAGCGGCAAGCCGCTGGGTCGCGTAGGTGCGTTGCTGGAGACGCGGCTACGGCCAGCTTGCAGGCCGTTACGGAGGAGGTGTGCTGCTTTAGACTGCGCAGCCTGCACAAAACACCAATAAATTAAAACGTTTCAGCGTAATCAACAATTATTGGCGTATTCTTAAAAAGAAAGTAGTGAAAAACTAATAAATTTAGCACACGTGAAAGAAAGATTTAATATTCACAAGTGTGCATATCAGGATATGAAGACCTACTTTCAAGCTGGTGTTGGTGACGATGCCGTTGCGTTTAGGTCTTGTAGGTTCAGGAGAGCGCGGGGTGCCAAGGATGATGCGCATGTGCTGGTCAGAGCTGAAGGAGTAGCCCGAAGGGGAGTACCCGCCTCCTCCGCTGCTGCTGCCGGCCGATGATCGCCCAGCCTGAACACAAGGAATATCAATCTACCGAAAAAATTGAGAGTCATATTAATGGGAGAGACAAAGAACACAATGGTTTAGTCAGCGCGTCAAGATTTCACAAATTATTATTCCGTGTATCTGCATTAATTTGAGCCTGCTAACAGGTTGATAAGATTCTATGAGATTGATTACAACAGCGTGAGAGTCATAAGTACCTGTGAAGAAGACTGCAGGAGAGGAGCGGTGGCAGGACGCTGCCCCTTATAGAAGGACATGCAATATTCCTCGTCCATGAGCGCCACCACAGGATTGACGTGCGTCGAGCCGCCCATGTATCCTTCGTATCGACGGAGGCCAGGATAGCATGACTCGCCTACCATGCTCGACATCGGGCCCCCGTGGTCGCTAAGGGGAGAAACGGGCGGTGAAGCGTAAATGGGCGACGACGAATCGTCCATGGGCGTGTGGGCGGCGGGCTGGGTGGAGGGCGGTGGACGGCGTCCACGGCCGCACTGCTGCAGCTGCTGCGTGAAGCTCAGCAAAGGTGACATGATGGACGACACGGGCGCTGATGGAGCAGGAAGGGCTTTCGACTTTTGCACGGACGAGCGGTGGCCGCCGGAGGACCGAGTGCTGGAGGTCAAATTAGAAGATTTCGACGACTGGCCCAGTGAGGCCGTTGATCGCCGCTTCTCGAAAGTCGACTCAGGAGAGTCGGCCGGGGAAGAAGTCAGGCCGGGACACAGAAGAGCTGAGCACGGCTGCTTGCTGGCGTCCAACGCACTGGCGTTGACGTAATTGGCTGTAGTCTGCCCGCATTTCTCTAAATGGTCCTCCAGAAGTTTTGCTAGTTTATGATGACCTCCTTTGAGGGCGACTTTAATGGCAGTTCGACCACACCGATCAGAATGGGAAGGATTAGCTCCGTGTTTCAGCAGTTCTACAACGCACTCCTCGTGGCCTTCTTGGGCTGCAATTGAGAGCGCAGTGGCGCCCTGCGAGCAGGTGTGGTCGACCGCGGCTCCTGCTTCCAGCAACAGCCGCACAATCTGACTATGGCCCTGCCAAGCAGCGCTCTGCAGAGGCGTGCGTTTCTCGCAGTCCGTGGCATCTACTGCCGCCCCATGCGCGAGCAGGAGCGCCACCATATGGGAATGCCCCTGCCACGCAGTTACGTGCAACGGAGTCCTTCCTTCCAAGTCTGTAGCGCTAACGTCAGCATTACTTTCCAGAAGAAAACGAGCCATCGATAAATTATTCTCAAGCGCAAGAAGGTAAAGCGTGGTGCGACCATCGGCGTCTCTGTAGCTGAGATCAGCCCCGCGGCATAGCAACAAATGAACGACATCTTTGTGGCCTTCCAGCGCCGCCACGCGCAGGGCAGAGCGCCCATCGTGACTCGTGTGGTCAATATCAGCTCCCGAGTCCATCAAGAGAGCCACGACCTGAGCATGGCCCTCCTGGGCGGCCAGCACAAGGCTGTGCTTGCCGTCGTTGTCCGTCTGATTGACGCGCGCGCCGGCGGCGATGAGGGCCGCAGCCACGGCGCTGTGGCCTTCAAAGCTGGCGTAGTGCAGCGGCGTCCAGCCGGCGTTGTCCCGGTGCGTCTCGTCTAGTCCTCGTGCCAGCAGTAAGTTCACTGTTTCCTGCAAGAAAAACATGAATATGTAAGTGGTTCCACAGTACATAATGATGAAAAAGGCGCAGCAATGTACATTTTATGTTCGTTTGACATAAAAAAGAAATTAATGGCTAAATCATAACGAGAAAACCTTCATTATATAATAAGACATTCGACACCGGCAATATCACCGGGACATCAATTCACATTTCTCAAGGAATTTGCTTTAGTATTAATAGTTGAGCAGAACTGACCAGCGATCCTTGAGCAGCAGCAACGCTAAGCACAGTGCGGCCCTCAGCGTCGATGTGGTCGACATAGCAGCCCCAGAAGAGCAGGCGCTGCACTACAGCGGCGTGCCCCATGGACGCCGCGGCCAGCAGCGGCGTACGGCCGGACCTGTCGACGTGGTCCACGTCCGCGTCGTAGTCCAGCAGCAGCTCGCACACCTCACTGCCAACGTAACAATATTATAGCCAAATACATAAGAGTCAGAAGAAAAATTTCAGTTTTTTTGTAATTAAATAATGATAATGAGCACTCTAACCGGGATTGATTTAAAATTTTTAAATCAACACGTTTCCCGTAAATTCCGGTTAAACACTTACAGGGTTCGTACTGGTAATTAGTCTCTTATAATGCAAGTAAATCATAAAAACGTGACATGAAATCGATATGATTCAGCCCAGACATAAGTTTTAATATTGAGACAAGTGACTAAACGTACGTGTGTCCTTCGAATGCAGCAACCAGAAGTGGAGTGAGGCCATCACAGTCCTGATGGTCAACGTGCGCGCCTTGCTCGAGCAGCGTAGTGACCACCTTTATGTGTCCTTCGCTGGCGGCCACACAGAGAGCGGCCACACTCAGCGCCGTCCTGCCGTCCACATCAGCATGGTTGACATCAGCGCCAGCAGCGAGCAGAGGCTCGACGATCTCGCCGTGTCCCATGTACGCCGCGGCGATCAGCGGCGTCCGGCCTTCGCTGTCGGCAAGGTCAACGGAGGCTTTGTGCTGCAGCAACAAAGCCACGACCTCCTCGTGGCCTCCCCAGGCCGCGGCTCTCAGAGCCGTGCGCCCGTCAGCATCAGCGAGGTCGACCTGTGCGCGGCCCCGCAGCAGCACCGACACCACGTCAGCGTGACCGCCCCAGGCCGCAGACCTGAGTGCCGTCCAGCCATCGCCATCAGCGAGGTCAGGGTCGGCGTTATGGGCTAAAAGAATGGCTACGACTTCTGCGTGGCCTTGGCGGGCAGCGAGATGTAGAGGCGTCTGGCCTCCGCAGTCCTGCAGTGAATGCGACGCATGGGACTCAAGCAAGAGACGCACTAGAGATGCGTCGCCCTGGTGTGCCGCCGTGTGCAGAAGGGTTCGCCCCGCAGCATCCCGCTGGTCCACGGGACCCCCACGCAGGTACGGGTACAAGGGGTCCTCGCGTTGCCGGCGGCGCTGTTCTCGGCGTCCCGCTCGTCGGCTTGAGGCGGCGCTACTGGCGGTGCTGAGGCGACCTCCGCTGGTGCCGCGACTGCTACTCACGCAGCTGCTCTCCACCGACGTCTGCAGCTCTGACAAGCTACACATTATCTCCGTGCTACTCGACCGAGGCCGGCTGTTGACGGGATTAGGTTCATTCTGTATAGACGCTCCATTTAAATATCCTTCGCTATGTACAATATCACTTTTGCTTAATAAAGAAGACCTATCCGTATTTACAAGTTTAAAGTTATTCGTGAATATATCGTTTAAGTTAGATTCCTCTGGAACAATTGTGGTCCCCGGCTTGGGAGTGTTCTGAAATTCTGATTCAGTTCCTAATTCTTTATACTTCACACAACTTTGTTCTTCGCCCGGCTTCCCTCCTTCATCGTTTGTCACTTCTTCGACAGCCCCGCCGTCTTCTTCCTCATCCTCGCCCTCTACTTCATCCTCCTCGTCCTCTTCGTCCTCCTCGACCGACGCTTCCTCTTCGAACAGAGGGTCAGGGGGAGGCTCAGCCCCCGCCTCCAGCAGCAGCCTGACGGCGCGATGGTCCAGAGGCCCCACGTGTTCAAAGCAGGTCTCGAGTGGAGTGCCTGCCGCTACCAGCCATTGCGCCAGGTGGCACGGCTCCAGCGGCGCCTGCACGGGCATGCGGGCCAAGTGGAAGGCAAAGTCTTGCACCCTGGCAGGGTTGAGAGTAGGAGCTCGGAGTGACAAGTTCATGGCCAGCATAGCGTGCCCTTGTGACACATCCACCAGATACTTCTGCGTGCAGTGTTTCACGTCGAGCAGCCACTCAGCGAAACTGTGGTGAAACATAACAACCCGGGGCGAGTACGGACACAGCACACGTCGCAGGAGTCCCCACCTCTTGCTCCACTCTTCCTCCGACATGTCCGGTGCTCGTGTTCGAATGGCTTCCCTGAGCTCTTCTGGTGTCAAGGCCTGGCGAGCAGCCAGCGCCACTGCCAGTAAAGGAGCAACGCGCTGAAAATTTCGCCTTGGGTACAAGCGCTGGCACAGCCATAGGTAAAGACCGTTCAGCGTGCCGGGAATGTCACGTATTTCCCGTAGCGTCACCCAACCTTCAGATACACCATCAAGAACTTTTTCCAGGTACAAAAAGCATCCATTGCTTTTGATGTGTAACTGGTTAAGCATTTCGGCAGTTTCGCGAGACAAATGATTTCTTAGAGCAGGTTCACGATCCAGGCGGCATAAAATGTATTGTTGCACGTCTCGGACAACTTGATTCCGCCTTAAATCATCTAGAGAGATTCTTCTGAAGCCTGTAAATTGTTTTGTTATGAAACGCGAACAGCGACGGGCAGATACAACTAGCAGAAGCCACGAGGGAAGCAAGTGATGATGACTTGCCAAGAGATCAGCAACAGTTCGTGATGTATTGCTAGGTTTGCATGCCAAAAAAGTGCCAGGTGCATCACAGCTGCTCTCTGAGTTGGTAAGAGCGTCCTCATCAACGCTGTCAACGACCAGCAGCAACGTCTTCTGCGGGCTCGGGATCTCCGAGAGAGGAAAGAGCACCGCGCGTCTGAAAGCCTCATCAGGATTATGGTAGAGCGCCCGTACCTCCAGTGCAGCCTTGATATCAGGAACTTCGAGCTTTTCTTTGTACCCGGGGAGTAAGGGCGAATATGACAGCTGAGTCACGAGAGATTGAACAAAGTTTGCAACGCAGAGCGACAGCATATCGTGAGCATGACAGAAATGATGAGCTAACAGCCTCGACTGAAGCTGTGCAGCGTGACGGCCGTGATTGGCACTCGGGTTGACCAGTTCGTGGCAGAGCGCAGTTTTGCCGGCACCTGGTCCAGCCATGAGCAGCGCACCGCAAGTCTTCGCTGCCGGCCGCTGCTCCACGCACGCCCACAATTTAATCCAGACCCACTCCCGACAGAAAAACCGACGACCATCGGATATAGCCTCAACCTCGGGCTGTTCATTTTCGACGCCTGCTTCTGCCTTCGCCCCTTCCCCGACGTCCTTAGGTCCAGCGACGGCTGCAATGGGAGACTCGTCCTCGGCAGGGGTCGGAACCTCGACATCTTGACTGGATGAGGGTTCCGTTGTTTCTCCCTCGACGATCACAGCTGACGAGTCAGATCCCTCAGGCAAGTCGGGCACTTCATCATGGATGGAGAGTGTGGTGATGGGTGGGATGGAGGAAATGGTGGTGTCTGCGGTGGTCGGCATCACAGCGCCAACCGTGCTCATTTTGGCCCTCGACCTTCGCCTGCAAGACCCACGAACAAATTACTGCGACATCTCGTGGTAATCTTTTTATTATATTTATTAACGTAATGTGTGTGTTTGAAGCCTGTCAACGAAAAAATGGAGGGGCTGTTAAGGCGAGCGTCCACGCTACTTATCGCGCAAAAAGAAAAACAATACTTAGAAGTTCTATACTTATTGCGGGTTGGAACGAGACTTTCTTTACTTAGCGTAAATTACTTTTAGACGGTGACTTGTAGATTTTATTTCATTGCTTGATTTCCATCGAAATAATGCTACAAGTTCAACGATATTTGGTCTACCGTCTAATTTTTATTTATGTTTAATTTCTACTTCCACATGCACGACACTTTTGAGCTATGGAGAGAAACATTAAAAATTTTTAGCTTTTCAACATTTTTTCCAAAGAGAATGCTTTGACGCATTGTTGTCTCAACATTTTGCTAGAAAATTGCAGCAATGACGCTTGATTAGAGCGCTCAATTGTTAGCGCCACTGAGTTTCATGATGAATCTTAATAAATTTGCATTCATTAAATTGGTCCTTTCTGAATCCTCTTTTACTTTCGAAAAAACTATTAGGTAGAATTTTGTAATTTTGTGTAAAATAAACGACAGCGTGCCACATGTGATCGTCAAATTAGACTTACAGTGGGGGGAAATAAATATTCGTACACTTGAAAAATCGTATTTTAATGTATGTAAGTACACAAACTGAACAGGAGAAGTGATTTATATTATGTATAGAGGCGCATTGTATTCAAAAATAGCATCAATAGAAATTAAATCTCAATGCAACAAAAATTAATGCAACNGATTTGAAGATTATTTTTAGTACTGTGAAAAATTGAGTTTGAACTCCATATTTAGTGGAGTTCATATTTCCTCAATTCCATATATTTAGTGCAAGCCATTGAAAATAATGCCTGAGTAAATAAAATCCTGGAAAAATAATTCTATGACAAATTGCAGATATAACCTCATGCAATCAGGAAATGAGGATTTCACAGAGTGAATACATTATTTTAGATAAAATTTGCACCGAGGGTTCAGCAATTGAGGCCTTGCATGTCCGGAATTTAAACTCTTAAACCTAAAAGAACGAACAAAGAGCATATTCCTTAAACTGTGCAAGAGATAACTGCCCGTAACAAACAACGAATAAAAAACAAAGAAATAGCAAGTTTTTACCGTGGCACTGACCGGTAAGGTGAGAGCTGTCCTTAAATTCGGCGTCGCCGGCAGCTCGCCATGCTGAGGGAAGGTGAGAGGTTGAGGGTAGCAGCAGTCAGGCGGTGTACCTGCGCACAAAACAAATTGTTATCAAGACAACAAAATCGCCTCGTGCCGTTGTCGCCGGATACCATATATTATCATATAATTTCATAACATAGTGATGTCGGCGCTGAATAATAGGCCTGATGTGGCCTGTCGCCAATTCTTGTACTTTTCCTGATTTGTTGCGTCATTGTTGTTGATCTAAAATCAGGTCCTTTGACCGGATCTTTTCCAAACTGACGATTGTTTGAAATAGCTACTAGACTTCCACCACATTCGATATGGTGCTGAGCATTTCAAGTCTGAACATATATTTCTCCTTTATTTTATCTAGTCTGTTCCTGAACGCGTGTCTATACTGAGTGCGTCAACGATGTAATCGGGGAGGCTGTTCCAAATGTCGGTGACTCGAAGCGAGAAAAAGTGTTGACTTGTCAGTGCATTAAAACGCAGCAACCATTTATCAGCCCAGTTAAGGTATTAAGCACTAAAAAGAGGTACGAAGTAAGAGATCAATAACAGGATAACCGTCAAGACAAGATATCGGATGACACATAACCAAGGTAGCACTGAGGCCTCAGAGCGACGCTGACCTCAGAGGGGCCACACAGACCGAACCTCATCGATCGATGGACTTCAGCCTCGGTTATTTTTAAGGCCACTGTCGTGCCCACGTCAATGATTACACTCTAATCCTGGCTACTTCATTGACGAGTTTACCGTCCGCGTGCCTCACATTAAATCAGTATTTCAATGAGACTTCATCCTATCATGTATCATGTTGCCGTAGTGTCTAGCCCGCCTTTCTATACAATGTATGCATGGATATCATATCACATAGTAATACACCAATAAATGAGAGATATTGTGCTCATATGAAAATTCCTTGCAAAGCAGCAGTATAGAAGTATAGATGAGTCAAAGTTGATACGAAGAAAAAAAGACACAAGCAATTGTAAAATGATGGAAGAATTCACATGGCTCAACTTAACAGCGCACAGTTGTACATTGGTTGGTGGTACTGACTTTCCTTGCGTTCGTAGGAACAACAACGATACTGTGTTGCCCGTTAATTCATACGTTCTAACAAAGAAAAAGTTCAAGTCGTGTTAAAACTTTTATGAGAGGGGCCCATATGGAAAATGAGAAGCAGTAATGAATTGAATGAACGAAATAATTATCGCATGTCGCCTCAGCGGAAAGAAAAGATCTGAATGGCAGACTCAGTCAACAAGAATTTGAGTATGTCAGACAAAATGAAAACGGCATTGAACTTAAGCGTCTGTTACATCCAGACAAGGAACCATCTTCATTGTAATAAGATAATTTTCAGTTCGGGCAATAATTATTAAATACAATGTACGTACTTATGGTAAAGATACAATGTGCGGACCAGCTAGAGGGCGTCCGGGAAGATGTGTTAACATTTGTTCCTCTGCACATTTCTAAAGGATTAAATTTTCCAAGTCTAACGACAGGGCAGGCGGCAATTTTAGATTTCGCTCGGAAATCACAAAATGAGCAGTGATGCCATGGCGTGAGCCAGTCAAGCAGAGCAGAAATGCTGTTGCGTGAGCTGGAGAGGCAGAGCAGAAATACTGAGACGTGAGCAGGTCAAGGAAATGACACAGACTCGCATGAAGTATTTACTACGTACAGCCATCAACGTATCCTCTCGTTATCAGTTCAGCATTTGGGTGCATCAGAACGGAAACAAGTTTCAGGAATCCAAACGAGTTGTCGCACTACAAAACAACGCAACAACCAGGATATTGCCGCGAAAAGACCCGCATGCATGAAAGGTATGCTTCCTGTTCAGGATGGTTCCATTTGAAATTCAAAAGAATGTCAATGGAGTTGCGGGCTCAAATATAAAACATTCACAAGCAACAAAGGAAGAATTTCTTTTTAAATTAGATCTATTCCAATTTAAAATTATACTTTAAAAACTGTTCGTCACTATAGAATATTACGTAAACCAAGTTTGATCTTGTCGAAAATCAAGCCAAATCTCAAATTTCCAGGAAAAATTAAACTCTTCCCCACCAAATTAACAGCCCGAAACTGATTTGCTGTAATAATTATGATATGTTGTATTATAACATATAATTACGTTACAGTTCAATGAATTTTGATGTAGGGATGATTGGTATAATTCGAGCACATTCAGCAGCTCGTCCAATTCTAATTACACAGGCAGATCTCACACGTCGGCAAGCGGGTAAATGGAATTGGAACGTGCGATGAAAGAACAACTCGGATAAAAACCAGCAAATGCCCTAAAGCAACATTTAGGTCGATTTGATTAATCATTGGAAATTTCATGTACCTTTTTAGATTTGATTAATCATTGGAAATTTCATGTACCTTTTTAGATTTGAGGGATGATTGGTATAATTCGAGCACATTCAGCAGAAGCAGAGCTAGTCGAGGCAGAGGCAGTGCTGCTTTAAAGTCGTCGAGGAGCAGGCGAGGGAGGCGGGGGCGCCCTTGTTCCCTCGGAGCCTCTATAAGTTCCGGGGGCTGAGAGCAAGCTTGATAAGCTGATAACGCTCAGCCAAAACAATCTGCCTTCACACACTCAAACTTTTATCCAAGATAGCAGCGCCAACTCAACTTAAAATGAGTTAAAACTTTAAACTACACGTATTCCTCTGACAGGCGACATTCCAAATGGTACAAGCCGATAACCAACAAAAAAAATTATTATACAACGCTATCCTTGTAACACTCTCCAGACATTTTTAAAATAAAAACGTGTGTAGTATCGCTGCAATAAAGAATAAACGGCGGGAAAAAACACGAGAGATATTTGTAAAGGAATAGAACATGCTCAGCGACCAATGGGCGCGAGAAGTGAAAAACAAATGTATCCATGCAAAATTACGTGATACGTAACGTGAAAATTACGTGAAGGTCACTGTGAAAATTAATCAGCTATTACCGCGAGATAAGAATTAGGCGATAGCAATGCGCAAGTTTCTCTAATAAGCTTGCGATAGCTATGCGCAAGTTTCTCTAATAAGCTTGCGATAGCTATACGCAAGTTGTTGAGGGGAAAATAAATGTATTTCAGAAACGAACAAGAGCATTGCAATGGTAAGCACCACGTCCGCGCCACAAACGGGAACGATTAGAATTTAAACGTGAGATGGACAAGTGCAGCGCGCAGTCCTGCCGGACACAGCGATAGCGTTATGAGGTCACGTGTACGCTACCGCCATAAACTACAATAATGGCGTGAAGCTCAAATACATATTATATTGGCACGTGCACCAAAATACGCGTGATGATGGCGAAGTGTTGATGTTTATAGGACTATAAAATGTAATATCAAATCGCTCCAGTCAGAAAATTCTGAGCGATTTTACAAGGAAATGTGTCGTTGATCGGTAAGAGAGCGGTACTGTTTCATATGAGCTGCATGGTTCTTGCTAGTATAGTATTATAAAAAGAATAGAAACAAACAGTGACATGACAGAGCACGGCAGTGAAACAGCTGCACTGAGAGCCGCAGCAGCAGCACAGCAGCAGCAGCACAGCAGCTGTCTCTTATACACATCTAGATGTGTATAAGAGACAGGCCCTAGAGTTGTCCGTAGCTACCAATAGCTGCATGCCAATAGCGGCCTAGAGTGGTNAGAGCGGCCCGTCACGGCTGTAAGTGGAGAGCGGCGTACGCGGCAAGACTGGCATAAACATCGAGACATCAACGCAAGACCGGCTAAATCTATATAGAAGAGTGCAGTGAAAATTGGAGCTTTTGAGATACTAAAATGAAGCGTTTTTGACAGTGGACGTTCACGTGTTCCGAGTAAATACAAATTAGCATCGAGACATCAACGCAAGACCGGCTAAATCAATAGAGAAAAGTGCAATAAAAATTGGAGCTTTTGAGATACTGAAATATAGCGTTTTTGACAGTGGACGTTCACGTAATCCGAGTAAATACGAATGAACTGTCATGTCGATTGCGGGCAAAATAATGCGATTGATATAATGGCATTTAATGCACTCTGATTCAGTCTCCCAGTCCAAGTGAACATGATCTAAAAAACGATGAGTTGCGACTTGAAAAAGTATTTCAGAGCTTCAGAACATTTATCGTGGAAGATAACATAAAAGGGAGACATTGAAAAGTTTGAGCTTGCCGTGAAAGTGCGGTTTGAGAGAAGCTAATAATTTGTTTCAGTAAAAATTTCGGCTCAAAATTTCTTTGATAGAATTCACTGAGGTATTATTATTATTTATATTGCTAGTATTTTTATATTGATTTTTACTTGGAATAAGCCTTCAGGCCAATGACGACTAAACAACGTTAATTACGAGTTAACTTCGTTGAAATGACGATTATTCAACGTTGTTGTTTCAACGTAAGATCCCCGGAGCTAACAAAATTGTAGGATTTCTTTCCACTCAAATTAAAATGTACAAAAGTTAATTCTTTGTTCGTTTTGTTAAGGCCTCAAATACCTTCTGACACGCGTCACCAATCCATGGCAGAAAAGTAGTTTTGGTCGCAGTCGAATTTATTCGAACAGTTTTGCATAATTCCGATGCGATTTTTTGTACATTTTTTATACTATTGACCGCTCTACTTGGCTACAGAGATTGACGTGTCAGAGAAACAAATACCGTAATGTGTAGCTGTTTCAGCAGGGGACATTCATTATAGTGTCAGTAAATTACTTTTGCATACTTCCAATTTTTTTGCAGATTCGCTTAATATGAAATCAATCTATAATATGGACTCAATCAATGAACTCCTCAGTGCAACCCCATGCACAGACTTTCCTCAGTGCCACTCCAGATATTTTCCTCAGTGCCACTCCAGTGACTTTCCTCAGTACCGTGCCAGAGACTTTCTTCAGTGCTACGTCAGAGACTTGCCACCCAATAACCGACACAGGATGGAGTCTCTGCACAGCGCAGTGCATTGGTCGCTTGCTAAGAACGGAAGTGAGCGCGACTTTCACGGAGCAGCGGAAGCAGAAAGCACGGCTGCGCTCCAACGAATCCTCAC